TTTATTTCTATCTTTTCATTTTCTCACATTTTTTTCTTTTCCCTTATAACCTTCCCCTACCCATCCCACCTTCCCTACACCTTTAGCCGTTTTCTTCCCATTTCACACTGTCAGTTATCTCATTAGGATCTTATGTACTATTACAGTTTATTCACACCAGAGAAACTATTCAGTATTTACATATGTGTGACTTACTTATTTTACTTAGTAGTATATTCTCAATGTGTATCCATTTTCTATGGTAATTTCTCATTCTTTATGGCTGAGTAATAATTCCATTTTATAGAAAAACCACATCTTTGTCCAGTTTCCAAGTGATGGGCAAATGGGCTGTTTCCAAGTTTTAGCTAATACAAACTGTGCCGCTATAAACATAGGTGCGCATATATCACTGTGATATGATTCTTTTAGTTCTTTTGGAAAGATACCCAGCAGAGGGATGGTTGGGTCAAATGGAACCTCCAGTCCAAGCTCTTTGAGTTATCTCCATAGTGATTTCCATAGTGGTTATACCATTCTGCACTCGCACCAACAATGGAGAAGGGCTCCTTTCTCCCCACAACCCCGCTAACATTTGTTTTGTTTGATTTCCTGGTAGCAGCCATTCTTTGTGGGGTGAGGTGGAGTCTCAGTGTTGTTTTCATCTGCATCTCAATCAGTTTTATTTGTTAATGTACTGTATTGTAGAATTTCTTGAGGACCAGGGTATGGCTTAATGGTGAGTGCTTACCTCACATGTGTAAGGTCCTGGGTTGCATCACCAGCCCCCCCCCCAAATCTTGAAAAGCACCTGTATTATCTAGGGTGACTCAGTGGTTTCTCTGTCATCATCTGAGGTAATTTAAACTCCTTAAAGAGGTAGAAATAACTTCTTTACTTAGCAAGTGATGGCTTTAAAGTGCTGCTTCTGTTTTCTCTAAGATGTGAAACAGAAGAAATAACCAATTAAACATGTTTTGTGCAGAGGTGAGGAACAGACTGAGATGCAGGATGTCTCTGACCTCAGAGGGGAAAGCTGGGGATAGTCAGGCCCACCCGTGATGCGTCTTCAGGGCCTCTCTTGGCGGCAGGCCCCCAGCTTGGCAGATTGTGGGCTGACCCCGGACAGCTGTGTGTCCACAGATGGGCTAGGAAGACCTTTCCCTGCCTTGTCTTTTAGCCTTTGGTGTTGAACACTAGGTTCTGCCTTATTTTTTTCCTAAATTAGTCCCACTGGGACAGATTACAGGAAGGAAATGGGAGGCACTCACAGTGTTGCTATTTTGTTTTTTATTTGATACAAATGTTCCTTGAACCAGTCAAGCAAGCTAGTGTTTGGGGATCAATCTTAAGAAGCCAAGTAAACAGGGCTGCTCCTTTCTTTTTGCCTTTTTCTAGCAAACCACCAGATGGAAAGCTCTTGCATAAGAAACATCCACAGAGCACTTCCTGGGAACACAGTCCTGGCTGGTTGTGGGCTGTCAGGCAGAGCAAGGATAAATAAAGGTTGCAGGAGCCTTGGTTCCAGCCCTGGAATCCCTCAGGGTCCATTTTAGGGGGAAGGGAAGATTGGAGGTTTGAGGCCACCCTGGGCAACTTAGTGAGACCCTGTCTCAAAACAAATGAAAAGGGATTTGGGAGCATAGCTCAGTGGTAGAGTGCTTGCCTAGCACATGTGAGAGCCTGGTTCCATCTCTAGTAGCATACACACTTGTGTGCGCATGTGCACAGATGTTTAAGTCTGTACAAGGCTGAGGTTGGACAGAATCTAAGAATTTCTTAGACTGAACCCCAGGAAGTTACTGTCCGCGATGATTCACCTTTCTGCTCTCCTGCCTAGTCAAGAAGCCCAGTCCACAGTAGGTGCTCCATAAATGCAGACTGAAGGTCTCTTTCGTCTGTGGGTCTGGCATTGAAGTAGAGCCCAGACTTGGTTCTGCGATCTCAGCCTTCTCATCAGTAAGATGGTATCAGAACTTCTTTACCTTGAAGTTTCATCAGAACATACACAAATTGCCAGGCTTGGTGGTATGTGCCTATAATCCCAACACTTGGGAGGCTGAGGCAGGAGGATTGCTGCAATATCGAGGCCAGGCTGGGCTACATAGCAGACTGTCTGAAAAAAACAAAAGGAATAAAACATAAGACAGGTCTCACTGTATACTTCAGGCTGGCCTTAAACTCACTATGGAGCCTAGGCTGACCTCAAACTTGTGGAAATCATCCTGCCTCAGTCTCCCAAGTGCTGGGATTACAGGTGTGTACCACCCCCTCACTCCCTCTCCCCATTTGTTCTTGAAAATAAAAGTAGGTTGAGCCAGGACTGGGGGTATCTCCCATGATTGTAGTTTTTGCATAAGGAGGTTTATTTCATTCAACAAATAGCTGTCAAAAAGCCCCTTTATTTTGATTTTACTTTCTAAACTTTTGCAGTGCTGGTGATGGAACCCAGGGCCCTGCACACACTAGGCAAGCACTCACCACTGAGCCATACACCAGCCCTAATAACCACCTTTACGCTTTCAGTGGTGGGCAAGGGACTGAGTAGCAGCTGAGGCCTCCCTTCTGTACCCTTGCCTCTCTGTTCCACTGTCCTAGCACAGCTGTTCTGCTTGTGTCTCGGGAAACGGATATGGTGCATGATTTGTGTTGTCTGCACCTGGTGGTGGTGTTTTTTGTGTCCTTTTCTGTGGTTGTCTTTGCATTTGAACACCAGCAGTTTCCTCGATGTCTCTTAGAGCAAGAGAGCAAGAGGTGCTCCCCTTGCATGAATCCAGTGATCACAAGGGACGCAGGAGCTGACCCCAAATCTCCGACTCTTTGGTGTGATTAGGGGAGAGTCAGGGCTGGGATGGGGAGACTGTAGAGAAGCCAGGGATGCCTCTCATCACACCTTCTGTGCACCTCTTGCCATGCCTGGCCACTTCAGGATTCTGGCTTAGTCCTGGCACAGGTCAGAAGCCTTGAAGTCTATGGCCGTGTAAGTGAATAGATCTGACCTAACCGGGGAACCTGCATCCATCTCCTGCCACGTGAGCATCAGAGCGGGTCCCAAGCTGGAAGATCATGCCTGCTCACCCATAGCACACCAGCCACACCAGGGGCCCTGCCCTGCCCCGTTATCAGCCCATGTGGCAGTGCACGCTCCCCATACCCTCGCCCCTTCATCTCTTTCTCCAAAGCAGGCCAAGGAATCCATCCCCCAAAACCTCCCAAGAACCCAAGGCCTGGAGACTCCGACAGAGGCTCCCGAAGTTCCAAGCTGGGCAGCTTGCGGCACCCCAGTGAGTCAGAAGACAGCTCGACACCCACTACCCCCACAGAGCTCAGCAGGCAGGAGCCAGGGCCGGCTGTCTCCAGGTGGGTGGCTTAGGTGTCCCAGCAGGCCTCCCATGCAACAGTGGATACCGTGCAGCCCTTCTGGGCTCAGGGCCATGAGCCTGCTGCTCTGGGCTTTCCTTGCTGTGAGAAAGGTTGTGATTTTAACCACAGGTCCAGATAACATGGAGTTATTCAAGGTTCCAGGGCGCAGCTTGATACTCTGCTGGTCAAATCTATCCTGCATTCCTTCTCAATAAAAAAAAGGGGTGAGCCCACTGCTGCAAACCCATAATGCCAGCACTCTGGGAGGCTGGGGCAGGAGGGTTGTTAGGGTTCAGGCCAGCCTGGGGCATTTAGCAACTTGGTGAGACCCTGTCTCAAAACAAAAACCATAAAAAAGGGCCAGCTCAGCATGCAGGCCCTGAGTCCAATTCCCAGTTCTCTAGGGATTTAACTCAGTGGCACCATGCCTGCCTCATAAGCACAACGTCCTGAGTTTGCTTAAAACCTGGTACCATAAAAACAAAAACAATTCCCAGTTTTCAAAAAAGAAGAAATACAGTGTTCAACAGGCAGTGTACTAATAAGTACTTTAGCAGTATTAGCTCATCAGGGCTGGGGATTTAGCTCAGCCACCTGCCTCACAAGTGCAAGGTCCCAAGTTCCATCCCCGGTAACCACCCCCACAAATTAGCTCCTCAAATCATAGCAATGTGAGATAAGTGTTTGTTTATTTGTTTTTGTGGTGCTTGGATAGAACCCAGGCGATGTGCTAGGTAAGTGCTCTGCCCATGAGCTCCACCCCCAGCCAGGGGGTGAGTGTGGTGAAGTAGCTAAGTGTGGTGGTGCATGCCTATGATCCCAGCACTTGGGAGGCTGAGGCATGAGGATCGCTGTAAATTTGAGGCCAGCCTGCGCTAAATAGCGAGTTCAAGTCCAGCCTGACCTATATATAGCAAGACTCTGTATCAAAAAAACAGTAATAACAGTAGCAGAAGATGCAAAGGGACAGTGTATAAGGAGCTGGATCCCTCTCTGTCTTTCTCCATCCAGCTTCCCTGAGGAGACCTCAGCTGCCTCCCTCCTGGAGCAACTAGAAAAAGAGGCCACCCTCCTTCCCCCTTCCCAGGTGAGCTACTCCACAGCCTGCTGTATGTCTGGGAGGCACTCTGGGAGCACGGGCTCCGCATATATCCATTGAGGGCAGCTGCTGGCACGCAGGGTTGAGATGGTTGAGGCAGGCGTCTGAGGCTGCAGCAGGGAAGTGGCTCAGGCTTGCTTTTTCTGAGACATTCTTCTTTATCCCTGCTGCTTTGTTGTCATGTCCCATTCCCAGACTTCACTCGGGAGATTTGTCCCTCAGTTTGCAAAACCCAGGAAGACAGTGACAAGAAAAGCAAAGACATTGGAAGAGGATCCCGAGAGGAGGGCTGTTAGCCTGGTAAGACCCTTAACATGGGCCTCACTGAGCCCTGTGCACAAGCAGCGCCTGCGTCCGGTTTAACCCTAGCTGTCTGTGGCAACAGGCTGGGGCCTCACACACATAGGCAAGAGCTCTACCGCTGATCTACACCCCCAGTCTCTTTTATTTTGAGACAAGTTCTCACTGAGTTGCCCAGGCTGACCTCGAACTTGTGATCCTCCTGCCTCAGCCTCCCCAGTCACTGGAATTACAGTATATGCCATTGCACCAGGCGTGAGCCCCCTATTTTCAGTGCACTGCTGTCCAGACACCTGTGGCGTGTGCCCCGGATGCTGTTCTGGCAGCCCACATGGGGACGGTAGAACCCCGACAGGTAGTCATCACTGTCCCTGAGCTCTGCTTTTCAGGTGGCTTTGTGCCAGTTGGGTGTCCTTGCCATCATGAACCTGCAGGAGTCATGATGTCCCTGAGAGTGGGCAGTAATGCCATGCACTGGGAACACCCTAGATACCCTTCAGGAGGTTCATGGTCAAATGAACTGTGGTTCTTCTGTGCCCTGGGCCAGAACTCAGCAATAAAAAGCAACCGAAGTATTAGTAACACAAGGAATGTGTAGGTCAGGTGGGTGATTGCCAGCGTCAGAGGCAGGGTGGGCAGGGCACATGCCGGGAGGGTGCAGTTAGACAGGGTCTATGGAGTGGCCACACACACATGGGCTGGTGACCCCCGGAGGTCTGTGTCTGTACCGCTTCTTAGCACAACAAATCCGCAGCAGTCAGTCACACAGCAGAAAAGTGTAAGTTAACAAAAAGAGGATGTTTGTGTCACAGAGAATCAAAGCTGTGTTGGAAAGACTGACGGGGAAATGTTGGGTGTATTTTACCACAATTTCCTTCTTTCTTTCTTTCTTTCTTTCTTTCTTTCTTTCTTTCTTTCTTTCTTTCTTTCTTTCTTTCTTTCGTTCTTTCTTTCTTTTTTTTGGTACTGGGGATAGAACTCAAGTCCTTACACTTGCGAGGCAGACAGCAGCACCACTGAGCAAAATCAGCGGCCTCACAATTTCTTTCTTTTTAATTTCATTTTATGCTGTGCTGGGGATGGACCCCAGGGCCTCATATGTGCTAGGCAAGTGCCTTATCCCTCAGCTGCATCCCAGCAATGTCCCCTCCCCTCCCTTCTCCAGCCTTCTCCACCTCCTTCCTCTTTTTTTTTTTTTTTTCTGTGCTGGAGATGGAACTGAGGGAGTACTGAGCTAAATCCCCCCCTTTTTAAAATTTGGAGACAGGGTCCCATTAAATTGCCCAAGATAACCTTGAATTTACAATGCTCCGGCCTCAGTTTAAGTAGCTGGGATTACCACCACCTGGCTTGGTTATTTTTCTTTTCCCAGTGGTTTATTTTGTTTAAGTTGGTATGTCCAAAATTCCATCATGTCACCATGTGGTTGCTATTTACTTATGTCCTTGTTTTCGGGATGGAAGTGTCTCCTCTACCACTGAACTGTACCTCGAGCCCCTGCCACCTGGGTTTTTACGTCCCTGATCTTGCCCAGAGCTTGGTGCCCACAAGGAGTAGAACCTGGTGGCAGGAGAGGTTCAGAGCATCCATTTCCACCTCCAGCTCTTCCTCCTCCAGCTCTTCCTCCTCCAGCAGTAGTTCAGAGCTTTGTCGAGTGCTGGTGCTGGTGCCTGTGGAGATGCCCAGTGTGGTGCAGGGTCTATGTCTTGGGATAGGCACAGTACCAGCCAGAGAAGCCTTCAGAGGGCTCATGATGGATACCCCAGGACTGAGTTTCTTTCTCTGCACAGGAAGCTCTGCCCAGCCCCAGTGCCCCATGGCTGCCAGAGGGATCCCTGGGGCCAGGAGATCAGATGCCAGCAGACAGCCCCCACTCCGAGCAGAGCAGCCAGAAACCTGGGACACCTATGCCTGGAGATGGGCCAGGATCCTGTAACTCAGAGATGACCAGCCAGGACCCAGTGTCAGAGCAAGGGACCAGCACGTCAGATGGTGGGAACCTTCTTAGCAGTGGGCCTGAGAGGGCTCAGGTGCCAGATCTCCCCTCAAAAGGGAAGCTTTCCTGCAGTGCTGAAGGGAGGAAGCCAGCCCAAGGAGGCTCCCAGGAGGGCAGTGCCTGGCCTGGGACCCCAGAAGAAGGAGATGGCATCTCCAGTGCCCCTGTGTCCCCTCCCACATTGGCCACACTGTGCATGAAGACCTTCCCTGAAGCCCAGGACCTCCCGGATCCCAGGCAGACACCCAGAGGGGCAGGTGGGCAGGCAGAGTGCAGCTGTGGTGGCCCAACATGCACTTCCCTGGGGAGTGCTGTCATGGAGAACATGAGCACAGTTGCCCCTGAGACAGAGCAGAAGACCCTGGGGGCGTCCGGGCCAGGTGTGCAGCCTGACACCCGGCCACCAGCCTCTCCTGGGAGGCAGACCCTTCATGGCTGCAGGCCTCTGGCTGAGGAGATCACAGGGGACAGGGCAGAGGCAGGGCCAGAAGATAATCTCCACAGCGATGCCCCAGGGAGCCCTGAAGCTTTCTGGGCTGTGGTTCCAGGAAACCGAGAGCCTACACTGGATGCTGAAGACCCTGGCCACCCAGTGCCAGATGTGGGCCCAGATGTTGATCAGACCCAGGTGCCTGACCCCACCACACGTGTCCTGTCTTTAATGACACAGTGTGGGGACAGACAGGTAGCTGAGTCAGGCAGCCAGTGCCTTGAAGGAGGTGGCATTGGGCTCAGCCTGGCCCTCTGTGCCTTATGTCCTCTGGAGCACAGGGCTGCCACCGATGGCCCTCTCTTGGAGGCCAGGGCCCAACAGGGCAGCCCAGAAGTGCCCACAGACCCACCAGGCCCACTCCAGCACACTCTGGACTCTGTGAGTCAGGCCGCGTGGTCAGAGTCCTTGGCCATGGAGCTCGACTTCCTGCCCGACAGCCAGCTGCGGGATGCCCTGGATGCCCCTGATTTGGAAGCCCCACTTGAGCAGGTAAGAGCTTCCCTGTAGCAGTGACGGGCCATCCCAGGGCAGGTGCCAAACAGCTGTGAGCCCTGTCCCTGTGCTGCCCATTGTGAGGGAAAGGTGGGGCTCACACATGACAATCCAGGGATCCTAGACACAGCGCTGGGATGACAGGTGTGTGCTGCTGACCTAGATGAGTGGGTGTGACACCTAGTTTTCCAGAAAGGACAGAGCTGCCTTTCCGTAAAGATCCAGAATGTTGCCAAGAGGTTGCCACGAGGCCCCAGGTAGTAACAGATGACTTTTTTTTAAAAAACGGGATGTTTGATGTTTATTTCTTGCATACATGAACATTTGTGCAGCTGTGTTCTCTCTATATAATTAATATATAATAATAATGTAATTATTAATATAATTAATAATATATAATATAATTAATATTTCTTTGCTTGCTTGTTTGTTTATTTTTGGTACCAGGGATTGAACTCCGATCCTTGTGCTTATGAGGTAGGTGATGGAACCACGGAGCTAAATCCCTAGTAGCAGATGAATTTGCCACTCTGAGGCCTCCCCTGCCAGAACCAGAGCCCCTGAGGGTGCCAGCACTTGACAGCTTTGTGCCCATCTGCTGCACCTCCCCACCCTCTGGCTCCAGGTTCCTGAAGGAATATTGAGGGCAGAAAAGTAACTAACAAGGTGACCTGGAGAGGCAAGCTAGTCTCACAGCTGGCCTGGGCAGGGGACTTCATTCCTAACCTGGAAAAGAGCCTCTGTTCCCTTGTGGGCATGGAAGTGCAGGCCTGTCATCCTAGTACTTTGGGAAGCTGAGGCAGGCGCATCATGAATTCATGTCCCTCCTGGGCAGCTTAGTGAGACCCTGTATAGAAGTAAAATAATAAACTAAAGGGGTTGGGGGGCTCTCAGTGATAGAGCGGATGCCTTGAATGCCTGTGGCCCTGGGCTCCCTCTCCACACCTCACACACAGACCTTTGACCCTGCTTCAGATTCAGTTGGGGGCCTGAAGTGATTCTTTGGTGGGCACACAGAAGTAACGTGTTCCTCTGCCAACACCGGAAGGGGCCTTGCTTCCTTCAGAGGTTGCCTGGACACTGTCTGCCCTGGCTACTGAGTCTGTGCCAGGCACTCGCTTCACCTGTCAGGGCAGGTGGCAGCCTGTTCCCTGGAGAATGTGTGACACGCTTGGCTGTTGGCACATCTGAGCTGGCAAAGGCTTCCTGGTGTGCCCTGGGAGGCGGGGGTGGCCTTCTCACAAGCAGGTGGCATGGAAAGAGTGCCTGCCCAAGGGGAGGAGGCTGGCTGGCTATCTCAAGTCAGCTGTTCCGGTAGCCTCGGCCACCCATCCTGGAACATGAGCCCAGCGCTTCCAGACATTGGCCACTATCTCCCCGGTTGTGCCTGTCAAGGCTACATTTTTACTTCTTACAAAGCTGCAGCTGAAACCCAGGACCTCAAGCATGCTAGGCAAGTGAGCCACACCCCCAGCCTGCCTGTTGAGATGCTTTTTAAAAATACATTCAGGGAATATTACTATTATTTTAGTGGTTCTGGGGATGGAACCCAGGGCCTTCACACTGAACTATATGCCCAGTTATTTTTTAGTTTTTTACGTTATTTTAATATTTTTGGTACTGGCGATCGAACTCGGGACCTTACACTTGCAAGGCAGGCAGCACAACTACTGAGCTAAATCCCTGGCCCCTCTTTTTTTATTTTGAGATAGGGTCTTGCTAAGTCACTAAGTTGTCCAGGCTGAGCTTAAGCTTGCAGTCCTCCTGCCTCAGCCTCCCAGAGTGCTGGGATGACAGTTGGGCGCCACCGTGCCCAGCATCTTATAGATCACCTGCCTCAGGATAGCACTGAACAGATCAGCCATGGCCTCTGCCCTCTGGGGCATTTACAGCATCCCCATTCCTGCATGTGGCCTCACTGGGAGCTTGGTGTCTGCTGCCACTCCTCCTGGAGAGGTTTCTTCTAAGACAGTCTCACACAGGCAAACAGCTTCCCATGCACCCCTGAAGAAACAGCCAGCTAGAGACTGGGGCGCTTGACTAGCACATGTGAGGTCCTAGCTTCCATCCCAGTGCTGTAGAAAAAGGAAGGGAGGGAAGAGGAAAAGAGAGAAAGAAACCCAGCCAGGCTGCTGTGGGCCAAGGCGGACCGCCTAGCGGTCAGACCCCACCGGCAGCTCCAGTCGGCCTGGTGCGTGCACCTGCTTGCTCAGCGTGAAGTGTCCTGAGCAAGTCTGGGCAGCCCAGTCCCTCAGCTGGGTCCTGTGGGAAGGGAATGCAGCTGAAGTAGACAGTGAGTAGATGCCGTGACCTCACCGTGGCGTCGCTGTGTGGAGTCACCCATGCCCCATCCAGATCACTGCGGTCTTCTCACAGGAGTCTGGTGCTGTGTCCTGCTGCCTCCATACACCCTTTGTTATTCACAGAGTGATCCGGGCAGAGCACTCTCCTGGTGCACATGAGGCCCCGGGTTCCATCCCCAGTGCTGGAAGGAAAGCTGATTCCCAGGTCCCTCCTGGGTCCTTGTCACCCACTGGTCATCTATAGCCAGGATCCTTGGCACTTTCTGTGTCACAGCCGTAGCCGCTGGGTATGGGACGTGGGGCCGGGTAGACGAGCACAGAGTGGCTCCCGCGGGATCCAGCCCTTCCTACACAGGGGCATTTGGGGACATTTTCTGTTTGGGGCCTTCTCCTGGGCTGCTGCAGTAGCAGCAGCCTGGCCTCCACCCTCCTGGTTGTAACCCCCAGACCATGTGGGATGTCTTCCAGGGCATACAGGCACCCCCACGTTAGTTACCTTGGGTTCACGGTCCCTTCACCCCCTACACTAATCAGTGGCTGTGTTCAAGGACATTCTCAGAATAGGCCCCTTGCCAGGCATAGTTGTACTCTTGGAAGTTGAGGCAGGAGGATCGCAAGTTCTAGCCTAGTCCAGGTAACTTAATAACAGCAAGACCCTGTCTCAATTTTTTTTTTTTTTTTTTTAAGGGCTGGATATAGCGCTTTGGGGGAAAGCTCTGGCTTCAATCACCAATACTGTTACCAAAAAGAAGGTGGCAACAGGCCTCACAGCAGTTTTCAGGGACCCAGAACTTAGCAGTGAGTCCCTGCTCCGGTGTAGGCCCATCTGGAGGCCAGGACCTGAGGGCTAGGCTGGTCCTCAAGAGAAGGGGAGCAGCCAGCCTAGCTAGCTAGCTAGCTATCCCGTGTCTGTGTCCATGTCCATGGTTCAGCCTGAGCTTCCTGTCTGGCCCAGCTAGGCCACTCACCCTTGTGCCCTCTCCCTCCAGGGTGCTCCCACACGGAATGAGTCGAGCATCTGCTGGCCCTGCCCCAGCCCCAGTGCCAGCGGGGGAGACCGAGTCCCAGTGATGGAGGCCCAGCCCAGGTAGGCGTGGAGTGGGAGCATGCACCCTGGTTTTCCCTGCTGGGTCCCCAGCCCTTATCCAAAAGAGCAGCTTGGCCTGGCTTTCAAACGGCCCAGGACCTCCTGTGCCCCAGAGTGGGGACAGGTTCCCAGCAGTCTGTACCCAGACCAAGAGCTCCAGTGCCCAGGATGTTGTCCCCACCTGTGTGTAGTTCTGGGAAGAGGGGACTCCTAAGAAGAGGGCGTGTGCTATCCCCGAGCCCTATGGGGCAAGAAGGGACCCAGATAGTGTTAACACTTCAGGCTGAGGTAATTTGGGGCTGTGCCCAGCTCTGGCCCTGGGCAGGCGCTCCAGTGACCCTTGCCTGTCCTTTCACCTGTCCTGGCTGCTGGCTCTACACAGCTGTGGGCCCCTCCTCCCTCCAGCTCTGTGCATGCACGTGCATGCCTTCCTGGCCTATCCGTTTCCATTGTGCACCCCCCTTGGGGGGCTGCAGAGGGCTGGCAGCGTCCTCCCCTTTGGGTGCACTTGAACCTGCCCAGCTTATCGATTATTCATGGCCAGGCTTCTTTTTCCATCTGGCCAGTGTGGAGGAGGAGTCAGGAGCGGCCTTGGCCTCCTCTGTGCCCTCCCCTTCTCCTCTTCCTTCTCCTCTGAGCAGCAGAGCAGCCACACCACAGCCCCTGCCCTTGTCCACTCCGCACCTACTTCCCATGGTGCCCTTCTGTCCTCGGAACATTTCCACAGCCTTCAGGTGCCGCGGGCAGTTTGAGCACAGTGGTCCCTCTGCATCTGAGCAGAACAGCCTGATGTCACATCCGATTCTCCCAGCAGCATCCCTGGGCCTGTGCCACCCTGCTGGCCTCGCATGTCCAGGACCCCTGGGGAGGGAGAGGCTTAGGGCCTGGCAGGTGGCTGAAGCAGGACAGAACATACACATGGTCTAGGCCTGGGACAGCCAGCGCCTCGCAGTGACCAGGCCGGGTGTGGCAGAACCAGGATCTCTGTGAGGACCACCAGCCTGTGCGGCGGCAGCTGACAGGGCCCCCGACCCATGATACAGGGGAGGCGTGATGACAGCAGCTGGTGGGGAAGTGGTTAAAATCCAGCCATGATAAGGCCACAGCAGCCGAGGGGCAGAAGGTGGAGAGAAAGTTATGTGGGATGGGTATGGTTGGAGAGGGGATGGGTTCCCTGCCGTGTGGGCAGGTGATGTCCGGTCGGTCCTTCCAGCAACTGAGGGGGGTTGGGCAGCAGGGCCAGGAGCTGAAGGGTCTGGAGGGGTCGCAGCAGTGGGGAGCTGTGGAGCCTGGTTGTGCTGTGGCCTTGGGGGTTGGTAAATCCACTGAAAAGCATGAGGGCTCAGGTGGGGGAAGCCCTGGGCAGTGGTGGGAAGCCAACTTGCTCCCTTCCCTCCCTCAGGATGGAAGATGCCTCAGACATGGTGCGCGGCCTCATTTTGGAGCTGTCCAACCTGAAGTAAGGACGGGGCTTGGTCCACATGGTGCAAGCGAGGGCCCTGGAGGTGGGTGGGGTGACCCAAGGATCATGGAGAAACTGAGGAACAAGTCCTGCATGTGGGCACCAAGGGTCAGGAGCTCCCTTGCAGAGGCCGGCAGTGGTTGGGTCCCAGGTGACTTACCTCGGGGACTGACCTGCCCCTGACAGCTTAAGCACACCTCCTGTCCTGCCCCCCACAGCCGGCTGATCATGAGCACCCACCGTGACCTAGAAGCCTGCAAGCGCCTTAGCTCCAGAAAGGCCCGGAAGGGGGCTGGGCCCGTGTCCTGGGGTGAACAGCCCCGGAGGGATCTGTAGGTCTCTGCCACCTGGCTCTTCGCTCTGCTCCTACCTAGAGTTTTGTTTCCAAGATGCTCCAGGGGTTCCTAGCAACCTCCCCCATCAGCCAGAAATTCCCCTCCCAAGGACGCAGGAGCCCTGTGGGGTGGGGCCTCCTGTGCCGCACTTGGAGGTGACACCCTGAAGCCCCAGAGACCGTGACCACTCCAAAAAGTCAGTGAGTCCCAAGCATGTAAGGTTTATCTGATGTTAAAGGTTATTTTTCTCCTGGAGAAGCACAGGGCCCTCTTTGTTAATTGTATCCTCCTCTCTCCCACTTTCCATTTTTTCTTTCAGGAAGACCAGTAATAAAAAAATGACACTGTCATGAGGCTTGTGTTCTCCCCTCCCTTGGCTTTCTGCCAGATGTCTCCCACTGTCTGCCTCACCTATATCCTCTTCTTCCAGCCTCACATTTTGGGGCCTGCATGGCATCCCCAGGAGCTCTGGAGGGTCCTGTCCTGAGCCCCCAAAGGGGTGGCACACATCCAGCTGCCCATAGCTACCCACGGCTGGCACCCTGAAGAGCCAGTGCTCGTGTGGCCCAAGCTGCCCGGACAAGCTCCCTCCAGGCTTCCGCCAGCAAGGAGGGGAACCTTGGCTCTGCCTGTGCTTCACACAACCGGGTCCCTTTTATCCCTGAGATCTAGTGCAGGCGGGCCCTGGGCCATGTCCCTCAGGTCCAGGTCCCAATCCCAGCCACTCTAGCTATGAAGCACAGTCTAGAGGTGGTTACAAGACCCCTGAGGCCAATAAGGAACCCCCTTTGCTTTTTTAGGCCAGCAAGGAGGGGAACCTTGGCTCTGCCTGTGCTTCACACAACCGGGTCCCTTTTATCCCTGAGATCTAGTGCAGGCGGGCCCTGGGCCATGTCCCTCAGGTCCAGGTCCCAATCCCAGCCACTCTAGCTATGAAGCACAGTCTAGAGGTGGTTACAAGACCCCTGAGGCCAATAAGGAACCCCCTTTGCTTTTTTAGTGTTTGTTTTGAGAGGGTCTCACTATGTGTGGCACACATCCAGCTGCCCATAGCTACCCACGGCTGGCACCCTGAAGAGCCAGTGCTCGTGTGGCCCAAGCTGCCCGGACAAGCTCCCTCCAGGCTTCCGCCAGCAAGGAGGGGAACCTTGGCTCTGCCTGTGCTTCACACAACCGGGTCCCTTTTATCCCTGAGATCTAGTGCAGGCGGGCCCTGGGCCATGTCCCTCAGGTCCAGGTCCCAATCCCAGCCACTCTAGCTATGAAGCACAGTCTAGAGGTGGTTACAAGACCCCTGAGGACAATAAGGAACCCCCTTTGCTTTTTTAGTGTTTGTTTTGAGACAGGGTCTCACTATGTAGTCGAGACTGACCTGGAACTCACTATGTAGCCCAGGCTGGTCTCGAACTCACAGCGATCCTCCTGCCTCAGCCTCCTGAGTACTGGGATTACAGGCATGCACCACCACGCCCAGCCCCCCTTTGCTTCTGAGGCCTTAGGGCTTAGGCCCAGCTGTCTCCAGCACCCCTCCCCAGCTTGTCCTCTTCCTGGGGGACTCAAGTCCCCTTCAAGTCTGGAAGCTAGAAGGACCCTTGAAGTCCACTTCCTGTCCCCTCTGCTCAAACCCTGGGACTGTGGGATGGATGGACCCCCCGACCCCCCAATGTGCTGCTGGAGTGGCAGGCAGGGACATAGGGACCTTCAAGGGCAGTCCCATAGGGAAACTAGGTCCTCCCCAGGGCCTCTGCTAGCAGACTCCACACCACACACACCCCATTCATTCCTAAGCCCCCAAGTGCCCACCGGTGGCCCCACGGCCCTTGGACCCACTCTGACGTAACTATCTAAGGGACCCGTTAGGGAGGGAGGGAAAAGCAGGGCTGGATCTGTCCCTGGGCTCCCCCCAAAGCAAGCGCAGCCGGCCACCGGTGCTCAGAAGCACCAGGCTGGGCGTCCTCTCCTGTTTTTTTGATACCCCAGGTTGACCCGAAATTCGAAGAGCAGCACAGGTAGAACAGTGAGTAAAGGAGTCCCGCTTCCTAGCCCCTCTGCTCTCAAGGGAGAGTACTAGACAGGCGAATACCAAGTCCTGGGCTTCAGGTTGGAAGGGATATTTATTGAGCGCTGAGTGGGTGGAGCCTAATTGCTCCACGCTGCAGGGGTGCTGCGCAGGGCGGGGTCAGAGGTGAGTCCTGGGGGCCCTCGGGGGCGGACCTCCCGAAGCCCCGCCCCTGCCGAGCCGGGGTCCGTGTGATGGAGGCAGCGTTCTTTTCCTGTGCCAGAATCCTAGGCGGATGTGGTGGGACAGCAGGCGGTCAGCGAAGGTGCAGCCACCTTCCCGGCAACTTTGGAACCTGAAAGAGAAAAGCAGGGGGACCATCGTACACAGCGATGACTCCCGAGGACCGCAGTTCCACCTAGGGGCTCCTTCTGAGATAGTGCTTCTGTGACACTCCTGGACCTGGGCGACCGCCCGGGGACCCAGAGCCCGAACCAAAGCACAGAACTTCCAACTCTGAGGGCCGTGCTGCCCCCTCGTGGTCGCTGGGCTCCAGGTACCCTGTTAGGGGGAAGTTACCAAGACAGCGGCCTCCAGCAGTGTCCGACTGTACCGGGTGACGTCTCCCCCACCCCACCCCGCTCCCTGGGAGGAGAGCAAGGGTTCCTGTGCTCGCAAATACAAGGGGAAAAGGACGCCGGGCGTGGGGTGAGTGCCTAGCATCCCAGCACTAGGGGAGGCTGAGGCAGGAGGATGGTAAATTTCAGCCCAGCAATTTAGTGAAACCCTGTCCCTCCCTCATAAGCGGGGGCGGGAACTGGTGATATAGCTCAGTGCTAAAGGCCCTGGGTTCCATCCCAAACTCTGCAAAAACAACAAAACTCTTCTACAAAGCTGGACGGGTGGGGTGCAGGGGCCATCCCCAGGAGCTCCCAGCCTGACTGGGAAGGCAGCGCCCACCTGCCCTCTCCTGGGGGCTGACTTCCTCCAAGGCTCCCGAAGTCCCTAAAACAGTCTCCTTTAAAACCCCACAGACTTGGGCCGGGGGATTTAGCTCAGTGGTGCCGCCCCCTGCCTCTCAAACCAGGCAGAAGATCCAGAGTTTGATTCCCCCGTACAAAAAACTAAAACCAAAACCAAAACTCCACAGACCTGAGCTCTCTCCCACCTGTAATAACAATCACTGGCCAGGGCTTTAACTCAGTGGCCCCACACCTGCCTCACAAGCACAAGGTTATGAGTTTGATCTCTGATCCCTGGTACAAAAAACAAAACAGCAAGCAACCACTGCAGCTCTTCCCCGGAGTTGTGGGAAATGCAGATGCCCAGTCCGCCTAGACCCTGTGGGTGGAGTCTGCATTTGCTGAACGTTTTAGGACAATGAACCCCGAGTAGAGCTGGGGCAGTGGGAGCCCAGCAGACTCCAATTATGTTAAGTGAAAAACAGTGCAGCCTTTTGGATTTCTCCTTTGTTCGGCTCTGAACCCTCAAGGCTGAGGCCCAGAGTACTACTTGGCCCTCTTCCATATATCCTCTGTGGCTCCCTAGTGCCTAAGTCTAAGCCCCACCCTCCCCCATTAAGATTAGACCCAGTGCCTTTCCACTAAACCACATCCCCAGCCCTTTCTAGCTTTTATTTTGAGACTGTCTTGATAAATTCCTAAAATGTGCATGTTGGCTTGAATTTGTGAACCTCCTGCCTAAACCTCCCAGAATGCTGGGATTATGGTATGTGCCACCAGGCCTACATCTAAACCCTTTAAAAGAAGCGACCCCTAAGGACCTACAGGCCGCCTCTTCGTCCCTAAATTCTCTACCACCCAGACACACACACACACACACACACACACACACACTCACACTTCAGCCCACACTGAAGTTCGTCATGTTCTGGGCCAGGGCCACACTCCAGCCCTCTGACAACTACTCCAGGAAGCCTTCCTGGACTGTCCTGGACCAGAAAACCCCATTTATCACCCAGCACCTGGTTTCCACTGCCACTCTCCCTTCTACCTGTCCACTGACGCAGCCAGCCCATGAGACTTATTTGGACAGTGAGCTAACAGATAAAATCAGAGTGCTGAGAGGCTGAGCAACTTCTCTGGATCATACAGCTCCTAACTGCTAATACGATCTCGTCCCCACTATACTTACTGGCGGACTGTACCCCTGTGCCTGCCCCATGACCTCCTGGCAGATCCACCCCAGATCTGGAAGAGGACAGCCCAGAGAGAGAGAACGGCTTGCTAAGACCAAACAGCAGATGCCAGTTCCAGGTTCCCTGCTGTGGCAACATTTCTAGATGCTGTTTTATTGATTTATTTATTTTTATTTGAGACACGGTCTTGCTCTGTAGTCCATGCTAGCCTGGAACTCACTATGTACGAGCTAGGCTGTAACTCAGGCAACCCTCCTGCCTCAGCCCCTGAGTACTGGGATTATAGGTGTCCAGCACCATGCCCAATCTAGATGCTGTTTTAAGCTCTACCCAGTGCCCCCCTAAGCCCTGTGGGGTGAGTGCTGCAGTTATTGCAGAGGCCCCAAGCGGCTCCACCACTAGCCTGAGACAAGTCCCTTCCACATCAGTCCCCAGCCACCTGCACTGCACCTGCTGTTGCTGCTGCTGCTGCTCCTCCTCCTCCTCCACCACCTCCTACTCGGCAGTGGTGGCCGGTGTCCTGCATCCTCGCCTTGTCAGGCCGGGACACCCTCTTGCCAGCTGAGTTGCGAGTGGTATAGCTGTAGACAGAGGTGTAGCCCTGGCCGGTGAGCGGACAGAAGCGGCGGGTGTGGGCGCGTTCCCGGGTGGCCCCACACTGGGGACACACGTAGTCACGCAGGATGGGGCACAGCACCCTGCCTGCCTCATCCTTCAGCATGTGGGACTGGTAGATGGCCCGTGATTCGCCGTTGTGCTTGCAGAAGGAGCACAGGCGCTCAGGGGCGGCTGGGGGTTCTGGGCCCAGTTTGGGGCCCTCTGGTTCTGGAGCTGTGGTCACCGGAAGCTCAGGGTGGGGGTCCACCCTGGCCTCAGGCTCCTCTTCCCCACGGAGAGCCCCGATGAGGTGTGCCAGCCCCAGGTAGTCTGTCCACAGGTCAAAAGTGCCCATAGCTGGTGCACAAGGGCTAAGCAAGGGCCGAGGGCAAAAAGCCTGCCTGGCCCAGGCTCCTTGCTCAGCCCTGACCTCCACCCTCCCTCCTCTTCTACCAAGCCTTGGGGCCTCAGAGTCTGGGCTGCTTCTCTCCTTTTACCTAGGAGAGGGCTGGGAGGGGAGGAAGGGCTGGGGGCGGCTCCTAAAGTTGCAGGGGGCTGTGCCAGGGCCACAGGGAGTCCTAAGGGGGTCAGGGAGACAGGATGGCTGCAGGGGGCACTCACAGCCCACTCACACCAGCCAGGTCATTGGGGGGGCTGCTACTCTTGGGAGGCCTCCCCTCCAGCCTCCCCTGGGGTGATGGGCCTGGTGATGGCTGAGAACTCTGCCCTAAAGACAGCTGAGGTTACCAGCAACTTAGTAATTTCTTTCTTCCCCTGGGCTCTTGGGGTGAGGCCATGCAGCTACCTGGCTGTCTCTGGAAGGAAGGACGCGTCCCTGACCCTGAGTGGGGACGGGGCTGACCTCTCTTTTGGAGCGTTCACACCTCATTGTCTCCGCATAAACCCACCAAGCTGGGGATGGGGTGGGAGGATTTATAAAGGCAAGGCTGTCAGAGGTGGCCCAAGACCAGGGCTGGGGATCCAGGGAGGAGGGGGGTGAGATGGAAATCCCTGGGGCAGGAGTGGGGTAGCTGGGGTGTAATTCCACAGGTTCCTCTCTTGGGGGACCCCTACCACCTGCAGATCTTTGATCCTTTCCAATCAAAGGAGACCTCAGGGGGGGACGGTCTCAGAAGGTGGGGTGTTTCCAGGAGTGACACCCACAGACCTCCAGGCACCCGGATCAACGCAGCTGAGGGAAGAAGTCATGCTGTCTGTCTGCACACTCCATCCACCCGCCTACCCACCCATCCACGCATCCACCCACCATGCCCTCATCCACTTACCCATCCTCCATCATCCACCCATCCACCCATCTGTTCATCCATCAGTCATCCGCTCATCTATCCATAGCACATTCACAGTCCATTCCCCTATCTGTCCACCCAGCCATCCAAGAAAACTTTATTGAGCAAAACTCACCATGCCCTTTTAGAAAGGGTTTTTCAGCCTCTGGGTCCCCAGTCTGATTCCCCTACACCCAGCACTCCAGCATTTATTCCCTGATCCAATCTGTGTGTATCAAAGTCACAGACACCAAACTGGGGTTGGTGGCACACACTTGTCTCTTCACCCAGCTCTCTAAAGAGGCTGAGACAGGAGGATCATAATCGGAGCCCAGCTGTGGTAATTTAAGGACCTAGCAAGATCCTGTTTCAAAATAAAAGTTAAAAAAGAGCTGGAGATGCAGCTCATGTTCAACCCCCAGTACTGGGGGGGTAAAATTGCAGACACCAGCCTTTTCTTCCCAGGGTTGAGCGTCTGGGGCAGAGTCTCGCGCCCCCCAGGCTGTGTATGGCCCAGCCACAGTGACATTCATCTCCCGGTGGGTCTGGCCTTGGTCCCCACAACCCACCGACAACAATGAATGTTGATTGTGACCTTCACTGTGGCCTAAGGCAGGTTACCCCAGATCTGGAAGATAGGGCTCAGGACAGGAGGACGGCAGGTCCAGGCCTCGGGGTCCACTCAACGGTCGATGGTTTGCCTGAGTTGTCCAAACTCACCGACAGGTTGAATGTTCCCCCAAACCCTTCGCAGCATCTCAAGGACCTGAAGAGGGGTGCAGCAGGGGGCAGGGACCCAGGCTGAGTGATGGGGACCAGAGAGGGGTTATGGTTCCTTGATTCAGTTAAGCCAGCAAGCAGTTTATGAGTTGCCAACTGTGTGCCCCTACATCTGGGACAAGCAATAGACAAACAGTGACAGGCAGCATTCAGTTATTGGAAAGGAATTCCCCCTCCCCACAGCCCCCCAGCCAGGTTGGGGGTCTCAGACTACAGAGTCTACAGAGAGGGAGGAGAGATTTTGCAGCCGGCACCAGGATGTCTGGCAGCCCTCCTGCTCTGGCCTTGGGACATGGACAAGGGGAGATAAACAAGTCATTTTAATACAATGTAATGCTTTCCTGCATCCCTGATAAACAAGCTATTTTAATACAATGTAGTGCTTTCTAGGTTTTCACCTATGCTGGGCAAGGTTGTTTATGAATACCTAGCAACTACCTGGGGATCTTTGGAGAGTCCCTGACTGGACTGGGAGGACCAGAGAGGGCACCCGTGGGTGATGGGGTTAGCCTGACCCTGACATGGGTGCACAGAACATCCGCGTGTCCCCTTCCCATTTCTCCTCAAAGGGATCCAGCCCCACTCCAGGGGCCTCCAAGGGCTGAGAGCCCACTCCCTCTCCCTGTACCCAAGTCTTCTTGCTAGCCAAGCCGTGCCAAGGTCTGGGGACTCCTGAAGCCAAGGGTCATATTTCCTAGTGGCAGAGCGAGCACTCGCATGGCAAAATAATAACAACCTTAGCCCCATCACTGCACCAAAGGGCACACTGAGCCCCAAAGAAAGCTCCTGGAGTGACCTCAAAGCAGATCAGGAATCTCAGGTATGCTGACCTTGGATGACTCTCACAATGCCTCACTGCAGCCTGGTAGCACCAAAATGCCCAGCACGCCTCTCCAGACCCTAGTCCTGCCCTTGGCCCTGGAGACGTGCCACCAACCGAGGCTCCTCCCCAGCCCGTGAGCCACCCACTTAGTCCAGTACTGTCCCCAGGATGCTCCCTCCAGAGTCCCCCCATAGGCTTGCACGGGGCTGGACCCCAAACTCAACCCCCTCAAATCCAGCTGGGGGCCTATAAGGGAAAAACCACTCTGGCCACGGGAAGTGTGGGTGCGGATCTTTGGGAAGGAGAACTTCGGGCTGCTGACATTCCTGACAGGGTTTTGACCTTGCCCTGCAGAAAGCGGAAAGGCCGGCACGAGGTCCACCCACACCTGGGGACGACTGAGGGCAAAGGGTCTGGCCGGTCAGAAGGCGGAGCCGGCGCTTGGTCAAGAGGCGGGACTTCGGGGCGGGGCGTGGGCACGGACTCTGCTGGGGTGGGTGTGGCTTGAGCGAGGGCGGGGCGAAGGCGATCCCGGTCCCGCCTAGTCTGCCTGTCTCTTTGTCCGCTTGTGCTGCGCAGGCTTCCCGCCCTCCGCATCTGTCGGAGTCTGCTTGTCTCTTTGTCCCCGGGGTCGCAGTCTGAGTCTGACTGTGCCTTCCTGTGATCGGGCTCCCGCGCTGTGCGTGCGCCTGTCTCCCACTGTTGGGATCAGCTGTGAGCGTCTGGCCCTACACTCCGACCTTTCCCTGTACCTAGTGACTGAGTTGCCTGTCACCCACCCCTCACCCCTTCTCTGAACTCTTTTTGGGGACTCTGGGGGCTCCCGAGCTGGGATCAGGCTATGCCTAGACTCCTGCAGTGCCTGGGAGAGAGTTGGGATTCTGTCTCTCCCCACTCCCGCTAGTGGGCCCAGGCGCAGGGCTGAGGTGGCTTTCAGAGCTCCACCAGAGACCCCTCGCCCCATCCCACAGCAACTGGGAATGTTGGCCAGCTGCAACCCTTTGTACTCAAGTCCTGCGCTGTCTGTGTGTACCAGAGTGCAATATCCATATGTGTGTATGTGTGTGTGTGTGTGTGTGCTCCACGCACACACACGCCTTTGAACAGCCGGGGGAGAGGAGACAGAAGGGAGTAGTAGTCAGGACTTGGAAGACAAAGAGCTCATTTGAGGGTGAAGTCACTGGAAGAGCCCCATGGATGTCTCCGTGGGGTTTACACTGGTGACCCAGGCTGTCCAGACTGGCAATCTGAACTTCCTCATTTCAATGACACCTGCGTGGCTCCATAGGTTCCCACCCCTCCCTCCCAGCGCAGCTCCAGGCTTCTTTTTCAGATGCTAGTCTGCCATGCCAGCCCTCAGGCTAGGGGCTCATCTGGCCCCTCGAGCTCCCCTGGGTGGCAGTGGGCTGGGAGCTGCAATTTCCTTCCCCACGCATCAGGGATGAGGCCAGAGCTGGAGGAGATGAGAAGGGTCCTGCTCCTCATCGGTTGAAGCTGGAGGCCATGAAGGACCTGGGTGAAAGGGAAATACAACCAGGTGCAGTGGCTCACTGTAATCCTAGCACTCTGGAAAGCTGAGGCAGGAAGACTGCAAGTTCCAGTCCAGCCTAGGCAACTTAGGGATTCAGCAAGACACTGTCTTAAACAAAAGATCAAAAAGGGCAAGAGATGTACCTTAGTGTGAAGGCCCTGGGTTCAATCCCCAGTACCCCCTGAGGATCCTGGTGCAGGGTGACCCTGGCTGCAGGTCAAGGTGGGCTCCGTTTGCCTGTGCCTGCATCAGTGGGGGACTCCATCTGAGGTGCTCTGCTGGGCTATTCAGGATTTTGTGGGTGTCTGCCAGTACAGGTGGGTGTACTCTGTAGTAGGTGGCTGTCTCTCTGCCAGGTGTATGTGTGGATGTGAGCATGTGGGCTTTTGTTTGTGTATGCATGTCAGTGTGCTGTGGGTGTCTGTCAGGCTAATTTTGTGTGTAATCGAAGGCTGACGTGTGAGCCAGCGTAGTAGATGTCTGGCATCTATTGTCACTGTGTTTGACAGTAATCTGTGTGTCAGCCATGGATGGTGTTGCCCTGGTCCTACTCCCCAGTAAAATGTTAGCTTTGAGAAGCCCCAGGTTTTGCCATCACTCAGAGCTCTATCCCTGGTGTTAAAACTGCCTGGCACATCCCAGGGCCGGGATGTAGCTCAGCAGTGCGACACCTGCCTGGCAAGCGAAAGGTTCTGAGTTCAATTCCCAGAACCGGGGGAAAAAAAAACTGCCTGGCACAGAATAGATGCTGAATAAACAAGTATTCTACTCAGGGGGCTGAGCCAGGAGGATGATCAAGATGGAGATCATCCTGGGCAATTTAACAATTTAGCAAGACTGTCTCAGAATAATACAAAGGGCCAGAGATGCAGCTCAATGGTAAAGCAGTTGCTTAGCACATTCAAAGCCTTGGCTTCCATCTCTAGTACCGGCCCCCCAAAAGTATTGCACTGTGGCTATCTAGGTGACAAATCTCTATACCCAGGTGCGGCTTCCCTGAGGGGCTGTACATGCCAGTGTGCCCATGGTATGTCTGTGTGCATGCCAGTATAGCCATAGGGGTTCAAGTGTCGGATGCAGTCGAGTGTTAGGGTGCATGACCACAGGTGTAGGACCCTGAAAGTGTTCCTTTATGGGTGGCAGTGTCACTGTGGATTCTAGTAGTCTGTTGTACTGTGGACAGCTATGTGTCAGAGTGTACAGCTGTGTTCCTGGAAGCTTCGTATGTGTGTGTGTGTGTCAAGATCCCAGTGACTGCTGGGCACGGAGGTGTACACCTGTAATCCCAGCACTGGGGAGGCTGAGGCAGGAAGATTGCTGGGAGTTCAAGGCCAGTCTGGTGAGACTGACTCAAAAAACAAAAGCAGAAGACCCCAGTGACCTGCTGTCACATGCTGGCATTTCTGTGGGCCTGGTACTGCTGAGGGGAAGGAGATATGTCCTTGCTTTTGAAGGCACATAAATTTGTCTGTGTCTTGAGTCGTGTGGAGTGTGGATAATGGTGTATCTGTGTGCCTGTGTTGGCACCTCAGAGATCTGTAGTTGTCAGTTACTCTGGGCGACAGTTTGTGGGTGACCATGTGACAGCAGGCTTTTGCGTCTCTGTGTTCTCTGCTCAAGCGCGTCCCACACTGTGGCCGCTATGGGTGGTGAATGCCTTTTGCAGTGTGGCGTTTCACGGGCGTTGTCAGCCCGGACATCCCAGCCCTTGTAAGTGATGTGTGTGCCCACGTGGCCACATCACTGTGGGTGTGCACGTGTATCCGCACTCCTTGGGGTGACAGAAGAATTCA